ATTGAAATGATAACAGAGCTGAACTACGATGTGGACGGTGATTTGCAAACGATGGAACTATTATTTCAAAATGAAAATGAAAAATTTTCTCCGCCAAAAGTAGAGTAGTGAAAATGTAATAAAAAAAACTTTATCAACCTTTCATGCAGCATTAAACAAACCAGCAAAGTCTATAAATTATGGAAAGCCGTTGGAATTTTGCGTCTGCATATCTATTAAAATTTCAAAGCGAACAGATCTAAAAGTACTTTGTAGATCACGTGAACCACCTTCCATGCAATGCAGACATTAAACGAATTCAACATCACCCAACCCACCACAAACTCACTTCATCATTTGCATCACTCAATCATATTTTTTTTTCTTTTGTGGTGTTTCCATCTGTTAGGATTGAACGTCATTGTCGCCATCATCACCCTCATCATCATCATTATCATCATCATCACCACCGTCGTCATCATCATCATCGTCATAGTCATCATCTTCTTCTTCCTCTTCATCATCCCTGCTATCAACATTATCATTATCACAGTCTACCTCATCAGCGTAAAACTTCATTAGAAACTTGAAGTGATGCTGATTTAAGAAGCTACTAATTCTAGTGTGGGAGCCATTAAAATGTTTCTTTCACTTTTTATATGCAAGTTTACACACGCACGCACACAGCACACACGTACCAACACCTACACAGCACACACGTACCAACACTCACTCACACAAGCACACACACACACACACACACATTACAATCATATTCGTATAACATGTTTGTTTGTCATAGCACTGCCAGAAGTTTTCTAAACACAAACAACAGTGGCTGCAATGTTTGCAAAAGTTTAATAATGGATGTTAAAATATTTTTATCATCAGTTTAGTAATTAATCATAATAATAGTAATAGTTATCTTAATGGTAATAATAATAATAATTTTTACGTCATTTTAGTCATCACCTTAATCGCTTTCATATTCATCATCATCATAACCATCATCATCATTATCGTAGTCGTCGTCATCATCATCATTATTATCATTATTATTATTCTCACCATCATCATCATCACCTTCATTTTTGTCATTATCATTATCGTCATCATCTCTTTTTCAGCTTCATCATCACCATCCTCATCATCCACATCATCACCATCACCGTGGAGTTATCAGTTTGATAGAGGCAGCCCCATAAATAAGCCCCCTTTCAATGGTGCTGTAGCCAGCCAATTGTAAGAAGTCTGAGGAACTCACGTCAGCTGCATTTGTTGGAAGAACCTGAAACTTCATAAATTGAAAGCAACTTGAAATTGCGAGAATTCTTTCACGTCGTGCTGATATGTTTGTTATTACATTTTATTTTTTATGCAACTGCGTTTGTCATGTTTAATGTTGCTGTTTAATATGCGCTCGTGTGCATGTCTGCCTGCCCTGCCTACTTATCATGAATTCTCATTTGATCTCATTTCATTTCATTTCATGTTTGCTTCGTACGTGTGTGCAAGCACGTAAAACAAATAACATTCTATTTGGGAAAAATTAAAACACATTCATCCATCCATTGTTTTATCTTTCCATCCAGATAGCTGGTTATCCATTAATCTACTAAAATTGTTACCCATAAATCTATTTATCAGTCTATTTATTCATCTATTCATTTATCCATCCATCCATCCATCCATCCATCCATCCATCCATCCATCCATCCATCCATCCATCCATCCATCCATCCATCCATCCATCCATCCATCCATCCATCCATCCATCCATCCATCCATCCATCCATCCATCCATCCATCCATCCATCCATCCATCCATCCATCCATCCATCCATCCATCCATCCATCCATCCATCCATCCATCCATCCATCCATCCATCCATCCATCCATCCATCCATCCATCCATCCATCCATCCATCCATCCATCCATCTATCCATCCATCCATCCATCCATCCATCCATTCATCCATCCAGGTTGATTTTTTGTGTCTCATACATCAGGCCTTCAGTAGGAAGGAGCACTTGAGTTTATGCACTTTTATATCTATGCTTCTGTTTGTTTATATGTCTTTGTTTATTGTTTTATCGACGTGCCTGTTAAACGGCTTGTTTATGTTTGTTTATGTTTGTTTTGTCTCTGTCAAAATCTTTCGTGTGTTTCATTGGATTTCTTTTCGGTTTTTCAAGGATTTTCAAGGACTTGATTTTTTGGTCATTAGTGGATTCGGTTTCGCTTAATGTATTTATTTTTTTCGTTCCTATTTTCCACAACATTTTGTTGTCGGAAAGATATTTTGATTCAATAACATTGAAAATATGTTTCATGAAGCTTATCCATGCAGGTCTTAATGTAATTAATCACACATAACAGTTAGCAAAAGCAGACGTTTTACCGAATGCACATTTTTCGGCTGCGAGTTCACGAGACGTTGTTAAATTTTAATGACGGGAGGTTGTGTTTTCGCAGGTCTGTTCAGGTTATGTTTTTGTTTGTATAAAAAAACATTGACGAAAAAAAAATCAACAAGAGTCATTCAAGCAACAACAAAATAACACTAATAAAAATAGCAACAACAACATTTTGCTAGCTTACAAGAGTACGCGCCATCAATTTATCGCTTTTCATCGGCAATCAACATTACATTCATCACATCCCATCACATGGGCAACCAACGAACGATCAACTAAAAATCTTAACCAGAAGTCCTTAATCTCAAATCATCAGCCTGTACAAAAATGCACACACGCACACATACGTACACGCACACATACGCGCGCACACACACACGTACACACACTCACGTACGCATGCACGTACACACACACACACACAGATAACACAAATGTATAAAAAGATATTTGAACAGTCAACACTTGCACACAACACTTCTTCAACAAATACATGCAACAATCAACAATTCACACGCATGTACCACACACGCACGCACGCACGCACACTCACAAGCATCCAGAAACAAACGGATGTGGAAGAACGTATGATGAAGAAATAATAGGGCAGGAGTCATCAACACTCGCACACAACATCATCAAGCAATCAACAATAAATATGAAGCACTTGTATGCACTGTTTGTTCACTCACACGCACGCACGCACATGCATCACTCCATCCATCCAACTCACGAATGTCTGCTTCTTGGAGGAAATGTTGTAAATTGCTCGTTAATTAGGCATTTTATTCAGAAAGAAATAGAAAAAGCAGTAACCAGTGTAATAAAAATAAATGAAAATTGTATTACCAATTGAGTACCAATCTTTCAACCTGGATACAAATATGAAAAGCATAACAGTGAATTGGCCAATTAATGGGCCATAACGATAACAAGAAAAAACGCTCTAGCGATAAAAATAACATATCAATACAACACCAGCATAGCATTTCAATTAAGCACACCAAGATAGCACACCAACACAGCACACCAACAACTCACCAATAACATATCAAAATATCAAGCAGTCAGCCAAGAAGCGTAAAATGGTAAGGTAGGTAGGTGGGTAGGTAGGGAAGGTGGGTAGGTAGGTAGGTAGAGCAGCGAATGTAATATAGCGTGGTCGTTAAGATAACTTTCCTTGTTGCAGGTACTTATCACAAATGTGCATTAAAGAATATTTTATCGTTGTGTTGCGTCTCTTATCAAATGCATGAATGTGTGTGTGTGTGTTTATATGTGCTCGTGCGATATGTTTATTTGTGTAACTAATTATAAACATGTTAGTCTGTTTGCATGCTTCGTTCGTTTGTTGTGCAGTTGTTACATGTACTTGTTGCCTGTTGATTGCCCAGCCAGCACTTTATGTATTGATACATATCTCTTGTGTCTTATAAAAAATGTTCACCTCTCAAGACCACAATCTAAATTTCAAAACATATTGTTATTTTGCAGAAAAAATTGTATCGAAATTATTACCGATATCACATGAGATAAATCAGTGAGAAAGAATCAGCTTTGTGCATCAATTTCTGACGAGCTATCGAACAAAAAACTGCAACGATTACACTATTTTAACCATTAAAAAGTTTATACTGCATACATTATATATATATATATATATGCGTGTGCGTGTGTGTGCGTGTGTGTGTGTGTGTGTGTATGTGTACTTGCAACTTTCCTCTTTATTTTTATTTTTGTTCAAGTGTGAACGTCAATTACAGCAATAAACTGATGCTTTTTATCAAATGAATGAATGCTGTTTATGTGCTGAAGATGTTGCGATGCGATTGTGAGCCTGTTGTGTGTGCGTGTGTGTGTGTGTGTGTGTGTGTGTATGTGTACATTTGCATGTGTGTGCGTATGTGCGTGTATGTTTGTATGTGTGAGTGAGAGTGTGTGTATTGCTTGCATATGGGTTTGTATATGCGATGTATATGTGTGAGTGTAGGTGAATGTTTTTGTATGTGTTTGTGTAGGTGAGTGTGTGTGTGTGTATGAAACTGTGTATGTGAGTGTTTGCATGTATGTGCATAATAGTGTATATGTCTATAAACTTTACACTGAAAATTATTTTCAAGGGTTTTTCAGTTTTAAAGTCAAAATTGGGTTTTCAAATGTTTGCAATTTAGTTGTATATTTTTTATGAGCTGTCGTGTGTATGTGTTTTTTTTATGTTAGGAAAGTGGTTGTTGTGTGTTTGTGACTATATGTGTGACTATACGTGAAGTCGTATTTGTGGTTGTATCTGTGATTGTCTATGTGTGGTTGTGTGTGTGTGTGATTGTATGTATGGTTTTATGTGATTGTATGCACGGTATATTGTTCATGCATTATTTGTTCTTCAACATTGAGTGCATGCATGCATATGAACATGCGTGCAAGTGTTTGATGTCCGTGTGATGTCGTTCCGCTCCATGGAGCATGAAGTGATTGCTTCTTCCTAATGATCATCTTCCTCTCGTGTATCTTCCTCTTTTCTATCTTTATAATGTAAATAAACGGGTATTATGGTATATATATATATATATATATATATATATATATATATATATATATTCGTTTAAACATTTATGTACATTCCAACATAAAAAGCTTTTTTACGACAATCATTTGTTATTGTCAGTGTTCCACACGGATTTTGTTTATTTTGTTTTATTTGTCTGTTTATAATATAGATCTTGAGTGACTTTGTTACTGTGTCTTCACTGAGTGAATTTGTTCGAATTTTGACTTTGTTAGTTGGTAGGACTGCAGTAGCCTTTTGTTGATTATTTATCGCTGGACTTCTTTGTTCAATGGGCAAAGATTTTGCAATCCTGAGATTGTGGGGATTGTTGTTGTAGTGAATTATTTCTACGTTGTGTTTTTTCAACGTTTCGATTTTTGTGTTGTGTTTCTTCTTCAGGTGATTCTGCACGTAGGAACTGATAGGAATGGTGTTTGGTTTATTAAAAAAGATACCTGCAAACTAATATTCTTCCATCATTATATTCTCATTTTTGTTTAACTTGCAGAAGCCATAGACCCATAAATATTTACACGTAAATAAACATGCACATTTCATACTTGTGTATATTTATACCAACCTGACTCGTACACATAGGTGTGCAAGCATATGTATATGAAAAACTAAAAAAACACAAACACACACACAGACACACACACACAGACACACACACATATTTATTTACATCAACACCCCGTGTCGATGACTAGCGCAAATTTAGCACAACTGATTACAATTCAACATATTTCATAAGATGCCTGTTCATCGTGCGTGTGTGCGTGTGTACGTGCGTGTGTGTGTATGTGTGTGAGTGTGTAGTAGTGTATATTTAAATCATATTAATGCTTTTATTATCGCAGTTTGGCGTTAATAAAATCTGCATTGCATGCTGTTACTGGCTGGTGTTGTTTTTGTAGTAGTAGTTGTTGTTAATGTTGTTGTGGAGTTGTTTTTGCTTATTTTGTTGCTTTTGTTGTTTTCGGTTTAAGTGGTGTTGTCGTTGGTGTTGTTTTTGTTGTTGTTGTTGTCGTCGGATACATTCATTTCGTTGTTAGATGCCTCGCGTATAAATTGGTGTAACTCTTGTGGCTTTGCTGTGGCTGTCCCTGAGTGCATTCGTTCGTTGTTGAGAAAGTGCTTTTGTTATTATCATTTAACGAAACGTTATTTTATAAGCATCGATTTGATTCAAATATTCATTTGAGTATTTTATTAAAGAGTAAAAAAGTAGATGGATGTCTGGGAAAAACAAATTTTTAATATTTTAATGAAGATGATTGAAGATGAAAAATAATTGCGAAACATTTTTTTTATTTTTTAAAATATTTCAACAAAAATATCAAATCGGTAAATTTCATCAGCCAATTCCATCTCAATTTAATTATCAAATGTTTTTACAAGTTGAATTTTCCCAAGGATTCTAAAGCCAGCCAGCCAGCCAACCAGTTATCCATCCATCCAGCCATCCATCCAGTTAGCTAGCCCGCCAGCCAAACAGCCAGCCAAACAGCCAGCCAAACAGCCAGCCAACCAGCCAGCCAATCAGCCAGCCAACCAACCGACATTTGGCTAATTTAAAAAGAGCAGTTAAGTTGGTTTCAGACTTGGCGATGTAGTTAGGCAGCACCCATGGATGATGATTATGAAAGGTTTATCGTCCTAGCAACTTGAAAATGCGATTTATGTTATTGCGTTACAAGTCAGTGCTATCAAAGTTGCTACTCTCGCTATCGTTATCGTTATATTTTACGATTCTCTTAGTCATCGTTTTGTTTTTGGAGTTATTATTTTGTATTTGTTAGTTTTTTAATATAACAGTAGTTTTAAAAACATAATATGTTTGACCGTTTTCGACAACGCGATGGTGTGATAGTTTAGGATGCTTGACGCAGTTGTGGAAGGGACAGGGTTCAAATGCAAAAAGATACCCGCCTATTGATTGCAAAATGTGATGTGTGTATGTGACGTGTCGTTGATTTACGTGTTTTTGCATTAGCTGTGAGTTTGATGTTGAAACCCCGAAAAAATACTTTAGTGAGAATTATGAAAAATAAACTAAAAAAATTTAGAGGGAGGTAACTACTTTGGGGAAAATTTCCTCTTTGAGTAAACTATCTTTGCATGGTTGAACTATCAATGTATGGTTAAATTATCATTGTACAGCTGGCTTAGCAAGCAGTGCCAATTTTTCCTTGGTCATTTGAGTTCTTTTAAAATTTTGTTGATCAGCTCTACAGTTTTGTCTCGTTACAACTCTTGCTGTAGAAGATTTTTTGATAACGTTGTAACAGACATTATTTTCGCCAATACAACAGTGTAATAAAATTTTCAAGAATTTAATGGAAATAAATAATCTTACATATCAAGTAATTTTATAAAAATAATATGAATAAATTTAAGGTTTAATTTACATAGATTCCTGTTTGAAATCATCATCATCACCACCATCATCATCATCACCACCATCATCATTGCCCTCATCATATCTATCACCATCACCACCATTATCATCACCATCATCATTACCATTATCATCATCACCACTATCCTCATCACCACCATCATCATCTTAACCATCATCGTCATCATCATCATTGCCATCATTACTGCCATCATCACCATCATCACCACCACCAACGTTTGAAAGCTTTTCAGCCACAAGTTGATCTGATAGTGACCAGATTATGACGTCACATCGGGTTGTAATGACGTCACACTGTTCAATAAACAACAATAACAACAATTATAATATAACAACTACTGCTACTACAATAAAAATAATGGCAACAATAATAATAATGACAATCATCATCATCATCATTTTGTCATCATCATATCATAATAGAAATAATAATTATGATGATGATGAAGATAATAACAATAATAAAAATAATAATAGTAGTAATAACAACAACAATATAAACAACGTAAATAATATAATTAATAATGATTGAAATAACAGCAAAAATAATTGCAACAACATTAACTGTTGCGTTCTGTTGTTGGTTGCCAATGCATACATCAATCATCTAACATAAACAAAACACGAACACGCGAACCTGGTGAACCACCTACCACCTACCAAAACGTAAACAAAACACGTGACAACATCTCGAATGATGACGTCATCATACTGATCTTTGTTTACGCTTCAACTGCAATGTGAAACTAAATGAGATGACCACGACAATGATGGTAGTGATGATGATGGTGATGATGAGGTGATGATGAGGTGATGATGAGGTGATGATGATGGTGATGATGGCCATGAGGATGATGGTAATGATGGAGATGTTGTGACGATGATGACGATGACGACGATGATGATGATGGTGACGATGAGATGTTGCGGCGATGATGATGATGATGATAATGTTGATGATGACGACGATGATGATAATGATGATATGCATGATAGAGAAGTTGTTTGATGATAAGGATGATGACGACGAAGACGATGATGATGATGATAAAGATGATGAAGAAGATGTTTTGATGATAACGATGATGATGACGATGATGATGATTAGATGATGATGGTTTGGAATATATATAGATTAATATATGTATATACATTCACATATAAATGCATGCAGACAGCAACATAAGTTAAAATAACCAATCGTTAACCGATGTATCGTCATAATATGATATAATCATCATCATCATTTTGTTATCGTCCTCATCATTTTGTTATCATCATCATTATTATTTTCATCATCCTCATCTTTTTGCCACCATCATCATGTTGTCATCATCATCATCATGTTGTCATCATCATCATCATCAGTTTGTCATCATCGCCATTATGTATGTATTGTTGCGCTTTCTTATATCAGCCTGATTACATTCGGTTGTTATGAAGAAATTGTTTGAAAATGTCAAAAAATTATTTGTAATACTTATAAATAAATTTTAATAACTCCCTAAAAAAATGATTTGGTCACTGATACAAATTCATTTAAAACGTTTGAAGGCAAGCAGTTGAGGCTACTTTCGATCCAACAAGTTTTATTAAGAAATAATTTTAAAAGAATGAAGGATTCAATCATTAAAGTTACGTCACCAGCATAATACTCAACGACAAGAATTACCATTCAATTACCATTTGGTATTAACCGTCGTAGCTGATGTTGTTGATATTTTTGTTGTTGATGTTGTTGATGCTGATGTAGTTGATGTTGTTGATATTTTTGTTGATGATGTTTTTGATGATTATGTTGTTGTTGGTGTTGCTTTTGTTGATGTTGTTAATGTTGTTTCTGTCGATGATGTTTTTGTTATTTTCCTAGTCGTCGTCGTTGTTGATGTAGTTGTTGTTGATGATGTTGTTGATGATGTTGTTGTTGTTGATGATGTTGTTGTTATTATTAACATCAGTAACATTCAAAATGATTACATAGTTGAAATTTCACGGTTGCAACATTCAAATTATTTACTCGTCAGATAAATACGAGATGGAATTATCAGATTGCATCAGATTCATCAGATAGAACGAGTTGACGACATGTGTCGTACGCACGCATAGTGTCGTTACTGAAATGTAGTATGTACAGAAATTGTACAACTCCAGAATACACACAATTCACAATTTATTCTTATGAACACAATTCTCGAATTTTATTTTAAAAATCTTCACACACATACACACACAATACACACACACACACACACACACACACACACACACACAGCACACACAACATGTTCATAGTGAACAACCTACACACAAACAAACATCCACACACTCCACCAAACACATATCTAAATGACATATACACATGAAAACACAAACACTCGCCGATACACACACACACACACACAAACACTAAAACACACTCAAAAGCATATGCACACATACAATCATAAATAAACATACATACATACATACATACTCATACATATATATTCATACAAACATACTCATACTTACAAACACACGCATACACATACAAGCATACACATACGTACATAATACATACACATACAGACAATAATACACACACATACAGACAAACAAACAAAGACAAACATGCAAACAAACTCAAACAGAGCAACTGCCTGAATAGGAAAAGCGCTCTGTAGTTTAGACAAGGCAAAAAGAAGTGAAGCGTTTACGAGAGTTCACGTGATTAGCGCGCAAGCGTGACGTCATCTTCATTTATCGACGTCAATCGTTCTTCAGTCGTTCGTCGATTTGATAACTGCGGGAACAATTATCGGCGTCATTATCATTTTGTCGATATCTTGCAATCGGCAGTTGGAGAAGTATTTCTATTTCTATTATTATTTATTATTGTTATAATCATTGTTATAATCATTGTTGTTGTTGTTGTTGTTGTTTTTTTGTTGTTGTTACTATATAATTATGTTGCGACAACATTTTACTGATAAAGTTGAAAAAAATAATAGATGAGCGGCTGTTATTTTTGTTTTAATTGTTGAACGTAATAATGTTTTTGAATTGGTGCTACGTACACACACACACACACACATACACACACACACACAACACACAAAAAAACAAACAAACACATACAACACACACACACAAACATTTACTAAATTTTTGAGCCTAAATTAAGCTAGTAACATTCGGCGAATCAAACTCAATTAATAAATATTTCATCGTCGTCCATTTTTAAATAAAATGTTTTCAATATATTTTGTGGTTAAGATGGCAAAAATTAAATTTTGGCATTCTTGTATTTATAAACAAGAAAGTTTTTCTCTATTCGTTCTTTGTTTTCTTACTTACATACAATCAAATTAATCCTCAATGGAAAATGTTGTTGGTCTTCCCATTGCTAACATCCTGCTTTTAAACGATTTTGTTTTTCCTTCATATGTTGTGGTTTCGTCAAGTATGTTGTTTTTTTGTATGTTGTCGTTTTGTATTTTGTTGTTGTTTTGTAGGCTGTTTGTTTGTATGTTGTAGTTTTGTATGTTGTTGGTTTTCTATGCTGTTGTTTTGTTTTGTAAGCTGATGATTTGTATGTTGTTTATATGCACGGAAAAAAAGCTGAGCAGAATATCCTGACACATAGAAGTCATAAAATATTTCTATTGTTATTATTCCAATCAACACCCTCCACCTCCATCACCCACCACTGCCGTTATTATCATCATCATCATCATCATCATTTTCATTATTATAATCATTAACACCATCGTCACCAACATCGTCCTCCTCATCATCCCATCATCATCATCGTTCTCACCAACATCGTCTTCATCATCATCCTCGTCCTCATCATCACCATCATCATCGTCGTCGTCATCACCGCCAGCATAGTGACTTTCACGTGAAACCTCATTATTACGTTATGCAACAGCCAGTCAGAATTCTCCGACTACCTTCATAGGCCACATGCATGCATGCATGCATCTATGTTGGCAACATTCATACATACATTCACATTGACACAATACATGCACACATGAATATTAGTAAAATACATACAAACATATTTATTCATCAAAATACACGTATTTATATTCAATACATACAAAAGAATGCATATACACAACACAAACATACACACGTGCATTCTTTTACACACACACACGCACACGCACGCAAATATATTTATGCAAATAAAATTGCGTAAACAAATTTGCAAACACCAGTCATACATTAATAACACACAAACACAGACACACACAAATACACATACACTCACACACTCACACAAACAAATAAACAGGCACGCATCATGTAATTTAAACATCCTGAACAACTTAAGCATAAACATTTGAGCAAATACACCAATAAAATACATAAAAATATACAAAAACTTTAAATTAAAAAAATTTAAATTAGAAACAATTTATGAATGTATAAAACATTAAATTAAAACCAGTTATACACAACTTACTTATTTGCATAATTGATACACACACACACACACACACACACACACACACACACACACACACACACACACACACTCTCTCTCTCTCTCTCTCTCTCTCTCTCTCTCTCTCTCTCTCTCTCTCTCTCTCTCTCTCTCTCTCTATTTCTCTCTCTCACATTTTTCTCTCTTTCTCTTTCTCTCATTCTTTCTTTCTCTCTTCCTCTCTCTCACTCTTTTTTTTCTTTCTCTCTCTCTCACACACACACACAATAATGTGTGTGCGTGTGGGTTATTTTTTGTGTTTCTATAAATGCCTGTTGGTTGGGGATATTGATGTGCAACAATAATCTCTCATAGATAGGACATAAACACTCTGATGTGTCGGTATGTGTCGTTGTTTGTTTACGGTTTTGTCACCGTGCAGGTAGACGTAGTAGAGTGCTTGCTACGGCATTTAATTCGATTTAAATTATACGTTAGTACGTTACGTGCTATGTTTTATTTGTTATGTCCCATGTTTATTTGTTGATGCTGTTCATGCTCTGCTTCTCAGGTTTCCATGTCTGTCAGTGGCCCGCTGCTGATGTCTGTGGTGGCCAATACGATAATGAAACAATTTAAATGCATTCATTTCCAACCGCCAGCTACCTACTTTCCTATACCTACCTAACTACCTGCTTAGCTACCCAGCTCCAGCTAGCTACCTACCTACCCACCCACCCACCTACCTACCTACATACTCAACCACCTACCCATTTACCTAACCACTTACATACTTACATTAGTTTTTTTTTATAAATTGCTATTTTTTTGCTGTTGCGTTAAATTGTTCATTTTAACGTTAACGAAATGTTTTTTCATGTTGTTATTGTTGTTGTTAATGTTGTTGTTGCTGTTGCCATTGTTGTTGTTGTTGTAGGGGATGATGTTGTATTGTGTAGGTTGTTTACATTGCTCATGGTTTCGCTTAGTTCGTTACGTTATTGTTCATTTTGTTTA